AATTCGATAGAATTTAAAAAAAAAAAAAAGAAAAGATAGCCTTAAAAAAGAGATACTCAAATTCACGATTCGAGTTTTCCATATTGTTTAAATATATCAAGATGGTTAAGAATCAAATGAAAATCAATATCAATAACTGCCGAAAAAATACTATCAAAACATTACGTCGGTGAAAATTGAGCATGTCAAAAACTGATTATCTAAATGCATGATTCAAATATTGCATGTTCAAATATTTCTGTAAAAAAGAAAAGTAATATTTTCTTCCTTTCAAGCAAAAAATCTTTCTGCAAGAGATCTGTAAAATTTTGCAACAATGTCGCCGTATCGCTGCGATTCTGCCATGGAGATTTGAAATACTGAGCAATATGTATCAATCTTAATTCCCCGAGAATTTCCAATTGATGTTGTTTATTCATTTTATCATTCATTTTAATGTTTGCCAAATGTTTGGTTTGAGTAGCCTTAGTCTTTGAGGGATTCATCAATCTGCATAATTGTTGAAGAATTGTTAAAAGCAAAATAGAAGTTTCAGAATTTGTTTGAACTTATGGAGGACTATGAATAAAAAGACTAATTTAATGCAGATAAAACACATTTTTTTTTTAAGTGTCAGTGAAATAAAACATTGGAACAGCAAAAATAGTGGTGGTAAAAACAGTAACAGTTTACCATTCTACTTGATACTAACGATGAAACTTATACCAGAAACTTCTATTATAAATTAGTTGAATAGTGCAAAGGCTGATGAATGTGCATCAAATAATTAGGATTCTACAGTACATGGAAAATATATTTACATTATATGATAATTAATTTTAAGAGACAAATTTTTGAGTACTTTTATTTGTTGTTATTGAAGCATGGGTAGCCTATGTAAACAATGTTTAATTACTATTTTTAATATCAGCAAAAGTAATCTGAAATAAATTTTAACAATTGATTTGTTCATGTTTATAATTTCACGATTTTTATTTCCCATTTTTAAGTACAAGAAAAAAGGAAATAATTCAAATACAGTTATTTCTTTAGACATACTTAATTCAGGTACCTTCANGAATACAAAAATAAAATTATAAGAAAAAGTATTTTGTGAAATTTTCTAAAGTTTAATTTGTGAAGGTACCGCTAAACGGTAGTAAATTCGGCCTTGACAGACCCCTGACTAGGCATATTTTTAGAATACAATGACTATAAAAGAATTAAAAAAGTTTTAAACAGCAATGTAAATTTAAATAAAAGCTTGAATAAGAATAATTCTAAAGATAATTTAATATTGAAAATTACTGCAATTATTTTCTATATCGTTTTAGCTGATAAATTTCAAAAACCGTTTCAAAAATAAGAAGAAAAATTTCCAGTAAATGTTCAACTGGGTGTTTTTTTTTCCTTTTTTTTAAAGATATCATGTTGCAAAATAAATAGTCAAAAAACTATTTTGTCCATGTGAGATTTTCTCTTGCAATAGCTTGTTAAGATGATACTTCCACGACATTTTGGTTGAAGAACCATCTGCTATAGACTCTTGTAAAATTTACCTCAATCAAGCGTGTTTAACCCTTGGTTCTTTAAAAAGGTAAAGTTAAAAGAAAATGCCACTACTCAACTTTTTTAAAAATGCAACAACTAATAGTTTTTATACTTTATAAGACAATAGTAGGTAAGTAGATAAGACAGCTCAAATTAATAACAATATGATAGGACAGTTTCACACATAAAACTTGTCTCGTCTCATTTGCTAATAAAATTGCCATCTCGTACTGAGTAGGCAAAACAGTAAGAAAAATGTTCGTATCATGATCTGCCGGTGAATAATCACTATATCTTCTAAGCAACTTCCAAGCAGCAACTAGGAGGAACTAAAAAAAATTAACTAACGGATATCAACTTGAAGAGTATAACTCGTAGCCACCTTTCTCACACCTTTACATATTCTCTTAAAAAGTTAGCAGTTAGAAATCTATTTGGTGCCTGGACGATAGCAGTTGGCATAACTGCTCACAATACAGAAGTAACCCTAATAGAGAATTAAAAGTTTAATGAGTATTTCTATGTTGTTACCTATGGCTAAATATTTATAAACTTCCAGTGGTCCACGAAAAATTACGAAAATATCTCAGAATGGGAGTAACTCAGAGAATATAAGTTGAGGCAACCCTCAGGAAAACTTCTACATACTTCTTTTTAAATTTTTGCAAAGTACAAATTTTTTTTTTTTTTGTTTCAACATTTTTAGTAGGCACAATCTAGTTCAAATAGGGAAACATCCCCTTTTATTTGATTCATAAAATCAGGGGAGATCTCTATAAAAGGAACAATGGCAGAATAATCAGCACGTCTTGGCAACTTCTGGTATCGGAGAAACTGAAAGAAAGTAGAAAAATCACAGAAAGGGACGGACTCGAATGATATAACTCATAACCATTTGGCAAACATTCATGTTTTTTTTTTAAAAAAAATTTCAAGTTTATATCTTTTTGGTAGCTTGGCTATTGTAGTTAGTGTGACAGATTAATATATGGAAATATCCCCTAAAATTAGTGAAACAGAAAAATTTACATTATAAATCTAGCTAAAATTCTTTTCCACTCCGGAAAATTAGTTTATCATCACCTGTGGCAGAATAATCAACAGGTCTTGGTAACTTCCAGTGGCTATCATCACACTGAAAACAAAACATGGGAAGAAACTCAACAGGGTATATCTTGTAGCCACTACCCCCTGGCAAACCTCTACAAGTTTTCTTTTATAAATGTATGCAAGTTTGAAATCCACAATAGTAGGCGCAGCAAATCACAGAAGGAAAATATCCCCTCTACTCATATTTTGGTGTGTAAAGTCAACCATGATTAATGACATTTAAGTATTATCTTCAGAATAATGCTTATAATTGTTACTTTTTGTTAATTGTTATTTATTATAGCAACAAAATTTGTCAGGTGAATAAAATAATGCAGCATTAATTTAATAATTTTGATAATTAAAGCTTTAAAATAGAAATTTTTTTTACATAAGATCGCAACTAGTTTAACTCAGCATTTTAGATTAATATTCCTTGATTAAGCTTAGGTGCCATCAGAAAACTTTCCAAAAATTCATGATTTTATTAAAAATATCTTAACTGCATAACAATCGTATATAACGGGTCTGTATTTCGTCTCTTTACATTTTATGCACAGTAAATGAGATTCAACAAATTCTCTTGCTTTTTTCCAAAATCGTTACGTTTTGTCATAGTTTGTAAAACTTCGCAAATGATAGGCTTAGAATATTTGTGTTTATTTCAAGTAGAATTAACTACAATAATTATTTACTCTTTTTGATAGTGAAGCATTATAATGAATTAACATTCTAAATAGTAATAATTAAAGTAAGGAATAAAAGAACTTACCATTGAATTCGGCGTATATAAACACACGCGTGCAAAATTGTAAATAAATGCAAGTAGTGTCGTCTAGTGTAGGGGTAGCAATCCTTGTGTAGAACTTGTTCCCACGGAAAAGGAGTGAAAAGTTGAAACTCAGTATCGTTTAATCCACTTGTAAAACAAAAACTCAAATAACTGAAAGCAATGTGGAGAGTTACTTTGAAACTATATTGTGAATCAATATTTTCTCTATTTTTGATTTTTCTTCTTATTTTTCTTATTATTATTCTAATTAAACCTGGAATAAAATGCTACATTGTAGAATAACTCTCATATAATATTTTAAAAAAAGTTAAATAAAACTGTCAAGCCTTATTTAAAAAATTATTACTATTTTACCTCATGACTTAAAGAAAAATGGAATTATATTGTTATGTAACGTTATTTTCATTACAGAGATATAATAGTA